AAAAGGATTCTGTTCTATACTCAGTTCTCTTGAACTCTGCCAATGTGAATCTGTCCTTGAGAGATGACCTGGGGGCTATGTGCTGGGGGAAGGGCAATAAGGGTGCCAGCCAAGGAGGACCACTTGGTGGCCAGCTGGTCCCTTCTCGGGCAGCATAGCTCTCTCTTGCTTTTAATTTTCTTCTAACATTAATACGTGCAATTAGCAACAGAAAGAAAGAGAAATAAAAGGCTTAAATAATTTCAGATAGAATAATCCATTGTTCAATCTCTAAGAATCAACTTGTTTATAAACTATTTCATGAGTTATAAAAGTTCATTGGTCTTTTTTTTTTTTTTTTGAGACAGAGTCTCACTCTGTTACCCCGCTAGAGTACCGTGGCATCAGCCTAGCTTACAGCAACCATCTCTTCTTTTTTAGTTTTTATTTATCTATTTATTTTTATTTCAGACTATTCTGGGGGCACAAAGGTTTTGGTTACATGAATTACTTTTGTATAGTTTGAGTCAAAGTTGTAAGTCTGTCCATCACCCAGATAGTGTATATTTTATGCATTAGATGTGAATGAACCCATCCCTTTCTCCCCAGAATCCTATTTTATTAATTTGCAAAGAGAGCCTTAACTGCTGAGGGGCTGAATATTTGCACTTTTTGGCCAGTAAGTTCTAGACACTTATGCAAATAACAGCTATATAAACAGAAAACCCAAATTATAGTCGCTCAAACAAGATAGAAGTTTCTTTTTTCTATAAAAGAAGTCTAGACCGATATAGAAGTTTTGATGTGTCACCTGGGATATAAGCTTTACCTTTCTGCTCTGTCATCCTCAGCCTGTGGCTTCCTTTTTCAAGGTCACCTCATGATCCAAGATGGCTGCTAGAGATCAGTCATGATGTCCACATCCCAGGCAACAGTAATAAGGAAAGAGGTTAATGAACTCATATTTGGTAAAGGGTAAAAAAAAAGAAAAAGGAAAGAAAAAAATATTAAAATATTTAAATAAATTAAAAAAAAAAAAGGAAAGAGGGATATACCATCTGTTTTTCAAGAGACTTCCCATTAGTGTCATAAACATTCTGCTTACATTTCATTGATAAGAATCTAGTCTCATAGCCACATTTAGCTGCAAGGACAGTTGAGAAGTGTAGTCTTGCAGCCTGTCACATTGCTAGCCCAGTTAAAATTGACACTGTTATTAAGAAAGGAAGGGAAAGGATACTGAGGTAGGCATTTCTGCTGCAGCAGCCAAATTATAATCATAAGGTGGCTGACTGAATGACAAAGAGAGTCAGGTCTGTGGTTTAAAGAGCTAACAGCCAAGGCTGGGCTTCTCAAACTTCTATGCGCACATGAATCACTGGGGATCCTGTTACAATGCAGATAGTGATTCAGAATATCAGACATTAGCACTGAGATTCTACATTTCTAACAAGCTCCTGGGTAATGCCAGTCTATGGGTCACATTTTGAGAAGGGCCTAAAGCAGCATTCTCAACACTATTGGTGCTTTCTCTAAAAATCAGAGGGAAATAGCTGCTGCATCCAGAGCATTGCATGGGCATCCGTGGGCTGGGGTTGCTGGGTTTGGAGTGAGTACAGACTAGGTAAAGCTTAATGCAGTTTGCTCCAACTGAACCTAGTACGGCAACTTTTCCTTTCAGAGCATCTGGCCTGTGTACAGACTGATGGAAATTCCCTAAAGTCGAGTTGAGAAAGAGGGAGGAGTGAGAAAGCAGTTAGGGGAAAATAGCCCCCTTGCGTGTCATGACCTTGAGTCAGAATTCAGCCTGTTGTCCTGCCTAAGAGAACAGTCCTTGGCTAAACTAAGGCAGGCATTTAATTTTGTACTGCCTTGGGAAGTGCCTATGCAAATTCCTTTTTTTTTAAATTTTATTATTATTTTTTTAATTGGGCCTTCCAGTAAGGACCTGAAGACCTGCTAGACAAATTCTAAAAGAGTTATAACTGCAAATTCCGTAAGTAGAACCTAAGGACATTAAAACAGACCGGGGGCCCAAGACATCCACCTTCTACCACCCATGGAAAAAACCAAAAACGACAACATTAAGCATCTCTTTCTGGTCAGACGCGGTGGCTCACGCCTGTAATCCTAGCACTCTGGGAGGCTGAGGTGGGTGGATTGCTCAAGGTCAGGAGTTCGAAACCAGCCTGAGCAAGAGCAAGACCCATTTCTACTATAAATAGAAAGAAGTTAATTGGCCAACTAATATATATAGAAAAAATTAGCCGGGCATGGTGGCGCATGCCTGTAGTCCCAGCTACTCGGGAGGCTGAGGCAGGAGGATTGCTTGAGCCCAGGAGTTTGAGGTTGCTGTGAGCTAGGCTGATACCATGGCACTTGCTCTAGCAGCCTGGGCAACAAAGCGAGACTCTGTCTCAAAAAACAAAAAAAACTCTTTCTTTGCCCTGCTCCTACTTAGCCCAATTCCAGATCACAGAGGGTGATCCTTTTGATGTTTGTGGAAGCCCACATTTCCATCAACTGTCCATTTTTACTAGTTAAGCCATTGCAACAGGGCCACATAATGAAAGAGATCCGGGCTACTAATACATATATTTTATATACATATAGAGACTTTTGTTTTAGCTGCTTAGTCAATAAGTTTATTGTCTTTATCAGAAAAATCCTCATAGAAAATTGCTGTTTGGTTTAGCTTTCAGCAGCCTGCTCCTGAGCTCTGAGGAAGCTTCCCTTCTTTTGAGCTACCCAATCTTTCTTCTGGATAAGGGATATGTGGGGACGGTTCCATCTCTTCTTTTTAACTTCTTTCTTGGGCTTCTTCTCACAGACCGGACTATCTCGTATAACAGCCTGAGCTTTCTCATACGTCTCCTCCGTCGTGTCTGGAGTAACATTCTTTCTGTATCGAGAGAACTGTTTCTTGTAAGCATCTTCCTCTTCCTCCATTAGATAACGCATATAATCTGCAACATTGGGCCCCACGATGGTGCTTCCGATGTACTGCAGCATTAAATTCCTTGCTTTCGGAATCATAACCGGGGAATCATTTGGAACTGCGAGGGATAGGCAAGCCTCCACCCCACAGCTCCCTTCGGGGCTCCAAGAGCTTTAGTGCCAGTGGCAGTTCTGGCAAGACCCGCGTCCAAATAGCACGTGAAAGCCCCAGGCTGGCCAGGCACCTCCACTCGGCCTCCACAGACCTTGTCCACGCCAAACCTGCTGAGCAACCTGCGGGCCAGCAGCATGCCTGCGCAACACGCTGCGGCATAATTTGCAGGCCAACCTGCACACCATATTTTGGTGGTTCGTGCGCATAAGCTGTGCAGACTGTCACATCCTCTGCGACACAGGCATAGGCAATCTGATAAATGACACGTGAGTTACACGAGCTATCATTCTGTATTTGGGTGTGTTGTGCTTATTTTTATCCTGTATCACCAAGCGTTTCCCAGTGTAACAATCAGTTTTACCCTCTTGTTGTCTTCTATGTTTTTTTATTTCTTTTTATTTTATTTTATTATTTTATTACTTTTTCTTTTCTTTTTATTTTTTTCCCCATTGGATGCCAAGTTCTATCTCTTGTCTTCTAAATTTCACTTGGTATCTCATAAAGTAGGCCTTATTCTTGACAACTTTAACACACCCCATCCTGCTGAATAGAGAATCAAATCCTCAGCTCCACACACACACTTCTAATATATTTTAAACTCCTGGAAGATTTTATTTTAGTGACAGAAAGCCAAAAGAGAATTATACGAGAATGTGCTGTGTATTTGAAATATTTACTTTTTTTTTTTTTTGAGACAGAGTCTCGCTTTGTTGCCCAGGCTAGAGTGAGTGCCGTGGCGTCAGCCTAGCTCACAGCAACCTCACACTCCTGGGCTCAGCGATCCTCCTGCCTCAGCTCCCAAGTAGCTGGGACTACAGGCATGCGCCACCATGCCCGGCTAATTTTTTGTATATTATATTTTTAGTTGGTCAATTAATTTCTTTCTATTTTTGGTAGAGACGGGGTCTCGCTCAGGCTGGTTTCGAACTCCTGACCTTGAGCGATCCGCCCGCCTCGGCCTCCCAAAGTGCTAAGATTACAGGCGTGAGCCATGCGCCCGGCCTAAATATTTACTTTTAATACATGTATAATTGTAATATATATACAAAATGCAATGACTTAAATATAGATGAGGTCAAAAGACTAAATTTGAGGCCCTTTGTGACTGGGAGGCCGAGGGCAATGGCCCTCTTTGCTCTCTGTGACAAGCTTTGGGAAGCTTTGGGACCAGACACCCACCCTGTCTTCCCATCCCCAATGTGCTTGGGTGGACTCTATAATGTGAGCTATAATACTCACTGTCTACCCAATATCCACCCCTCTCTTCTTCCTCACTAACAAAACTGCAATTTTGTTTCAGGGGCAATGTACCAATTGAAATAAATAGCCTCCCATATAGCTTGGTATGGACCATGTGACCCATTCCTGGACAAAAGTCCACTGGGTGAGGTTTCAGCAAAATGATTATTTTAGTGATAGAAAGGGACAGACTTCTGACTTATGGATTTTGCTCTTGTGCCTTCCTGCTTTGAATACAGATGTGATATCTGGAGGTGCAGCAGCAGTTTTGCAGTCATGAAGCTGAGAGCCAAATGCTAAGGATGGAAGAGCAGAGGGATGGAAGAAATCTGGGTTCTTAATGGCACTGTAGATTTGGTGTAATAGTCTCAGACCACTATCTCTAGACATCTTGTTATAGTAGGAAAATATTATTATTTGGGGCTTATTGTATGGGCTTCTCTTCTTCTTCTCCACTCTTTACTCTTCTCCCTTCCACCTTCCCCAGCATTGTTACACTATTAAATCAGGTCTAATGAAAATGAATAGGGGTATGAGAGGACTTGGGGCAAATTCTAGTAATGGTGATAAATCGTAGGTTGATTGTGTGAGTATAAAAGACTTAATTTGTAAAGGATGGATACTCTGACATACATACATATATATATATATATATAGAGAGAGAGAGAGATAGACAGATAGTGAGAAGGGGGGTGTTCAGTGTCCATTTTTCTTTTTTTTTTGAGACAGAGTCTCATTCTGTTGCCCTGAGTACAGTGCAGTGACATCATCATAGCTAACTGCAACCTCAAACTCCTGGGCTCAAGCAATACTCCTGCCTCAGCCTCCCAAGAAGCTAGGACTACAGGCATGTGCCACCATGCCCGGCTAATTTTTTCTATTTTTAGTAGAGACAGGATCTCGCTCTTGCTCAGGCTGGTCTCGAATTCCTGAGCTCAAGCACTCCTCCCGCCTCGGCCCTCCAGAGTGCTAGGATTACAAGTGTGACCCACTATGCCCAGCCAGGACAGATACCCTAGACAAGCAGTCTAGAGAAGCACCTCTCAAACTTTAATGTACAAACAAATCACCAAAGGATTTTGTGAAGATGTAGACTTCAATTCAGTTGCTTGTTCAGAGAAGCAACATGCCCTGGGCCCTCAATGCCCCTACTTGTTCTTGCTCTGTGTCACAAGAATGCAAGGCCCTGACCACTTATTACCACGGCCAACTCTTAGGGTTGTTCTTTCAGAAAGAAAGTAAAGTAACCTTTCCTTCATCCATCCCTGCCCCCACAAAATTTTATTGTATGTATTTGAGATTTTTAAATTTATTTTTATTTTTTTATTATTTTTTTGAGACAGAGTCTCACTGTGTTGTCCAGGCTAGAGTGCTGTGGCATCAGCCTAGCTCACAGCAATCTCAAACTCCTGGGCTCAAGCGATCCTTCTGCCTCAGCCTCCCGCCCGAGTAGCTGGGACTACAGGCATGCGCCACCATGCCTGGGTAATTTATATATATATATACATATTTTTTTTTTAGTTGGCCAATTAATTTCTTTCTATTTTTATTTTTTAGTAGAGATGGAGTCTCACTCTTGCTCAGGCTGGTCTGGAACTCCTGAGCTCAAATGATCCTCCCACCTCAGCTTCCCAGAGTGCCAGGATTACAGGCGTGAGCCACCGCGCCCGGCCTGCATTTGAGATTAATAGCATGATGTTATAGGATACATATAGATAGTAAAATGGAGCCCAAGAAACATAGTGAGATCTTGTCTCTACAAAAAATTTTAAAACTTATTAAAGCAGGCCTAGTGGCATGCACCTGTAGTCCAAGCTATCTTGGAGGCCGATCTCTTGAGCTTGAGAGTTCACAGTTGTATGAGCTATAATCATGCCACTGCACTCCAGCCTGGGCAACAGAGCAGGACCCTGTCTAAAATAAAATATCTACTATAGTGAAGCAGATTAACATATCTATCCCTTCACATTGTTACTTTTTTTGTAACAAGAGCAGCTAAAATCTACCTATTTAACAAAAATCTCTAATACAATACAATATTATTAACTATTATTAACTATAGTCCTCATATTATATCTTAGATCTTTAGACTTTTTCATCTACATGGTACAGACTTTCTAATCCTCTCTTTATTTTTCCCACTCTTCACCGCTTTCCTTCCCTCCTGGTATTGATTCCTAAACATTCGATTGCACGACCTCGAGAGCCCATCCCAGGAGAACCATGCTTTGCTTTGCCAAGGCAAAGACAGCACCCATCATTGCATAATCCCTTCTCACACTCAGAGCTCCTGAGCAGCTGCTCTGGAGGTGGATGGAAATAACCCACCGTTTCAGTTTTTATAACCCATTCAGGAATGAAAATGTTATTTTTAGGGCACAATCATTTAAAAGCCCTTGCTGGCCTGTGGGGAAATGTCTTCAATCCTTTAGAGTAATGAAGTGGATTCTCTCTTTTCTTTTCCACCCAGTGTCCAGAATGAGCTCTTTCTTTATAGTAACATGAAATGATTCACTGCTTACTTTTTGAGGGTTTTGAAAACCTGGTGCTAAACATATCCAACTTAGAGAGTTTCAAACCGATGGAATTTAGGACACCTTCCTGCTTCGTGGCCTTTGTTTATTAAGAGAAACTTAATATCCCTAATTTCACCTTAGTTTTTTGGATATAAAGCATCGTCCTAGATTATATATGATGGGCTGGGCCCTGTCTTCTCCTGATCT